ATACATAATTAGTTTAATTATTAGATGTGTAAAGTTATAATTGTAAAAGTTTGAAATGATAATCATAAATTACTGATAAAATAGTTGCAAATTACTTGATTAATGTAATGTAATTTAATAGGGGCATTTTTATCTTTGCACCTCAATTTTAAATTACATTTTGGTTTCAAGGGATTGGCTATGTTTCTAAAATTCATGAGACTTATTTGTAAATAAGTCTGCTCCACAGGACCTATATGTAATTTTTTCAAATAATTAACGTGAGAGTTAAGTTATATGAGAGAGAGGAGGACAAGATTTTAAAAATCAAACTAGTCATTTAATTGATTAAGATATCATTTTAAAGGTCAATGATTGGGTCATGGTTGAACCGTGGTCAAACTGGATGTGATTAATTTACTATTTTTTAATTTTATATGTTAGATATTTCATTAAAAGTGATATTTGTAAAATGTTACTCCAAAATAAGATTAAATTAATCATATATCTTCAAAATGATTACAAATTTGTTTAATATTCAAGAGCACATTCATTATATAAAGAAAGTGACATCTTATTAAGTATTTTAAGATGGCTAATCAAAACTAAATTAAAAAGATAATGTTCAAAACAAATATATATATATATATATATAATTAGAAGTATAAAGATGTTATATTTATGCTTATATTAAGAAAAGAGGTTATGATTTAAAAAATCATGAAATAAAAAAAATGACAAAAACAAAAAAATAAGAGAGAAAACTGGAGAAGTGAGAGGTGGTGCTCCTCCCCCACTCCTGGGTTTTTTTGCCCCAAATGGACACTATTGGGGATTCATTTAATTGGGTTTTTTTTTTGATACATTAGTTCAAGTTCTAAAGCTACATTATATATATATAGAATGTGTTTCATTATTATTATTATTATTATTTCGTCTTTTGTAAAACGACTTCTCAAAATGTTTTGCCTTAAGGACAACATTTTCATTGCTTGCAAGAAAGGCCCGCATCGCTGCGAGATTAATGAAGGGTATTAAAATTTTCAAAAACGTTTTGGCATTACTTTTTCCACCCCGGATACAAAGGATGACCAACTAGGTCCAAATGTAGAAGGCTTTTTCAAGAGGCTCTCTTTAAATTGTAGATTGACTGTTCTTTGAGAAAAATTGAGGATGATAAAGTTACCTCGAAAATTAACGATATCTTTCTTGCACGGTACCACACTACCACTATAAGGCATTGAAGCTACATTTAAAAATATCACTTCATGACGTGAGAAGCAATTATTGAATGTGACTTATTGGATAGAAGGAATATAGATAAATTTAATCAAAGAGGCATGCAATTATCACATTAGAACTTTTAATAATTCCATAACCAGTAATCACCTATGTCAAGTGCCATTATATTATGAATTTAAAAGTGCTACACATACATATACACATACATACATACATACGTATATATATACATATATATATATATATATATTCCATTCATCCACATCATATTCCGGCCGGCAACCTTGTCGTTTTCTCGTTTTTATTAGCCAGAGATATAACGAATTGCATGTTAGCAACTTTAAATTAAATAGACATTCATTAAAAAGATATATGATGAACGGAATATGGATGAGAGAGGCTAAATTTGATCTAATGCTAATCTCATCATTTAATTAAAAAAATCTAACATTAATTACACGTTCCACGCAAACGTCTTATTTTATATTAGCTGCTTGATTGGTTCTTGAAATATATAAAATCACAACAATTAAAGTCAATTATTAAGTTACATTAGTCATAGCTACAAATATACAATTCAAAGTTCGGTATATATGAGACATAATATATTATGATAGTAATTATAAGTAATTTTTAAGTTATAAGAGCAACAACAATAGACAAGTCAGGTATAGCATTAAGTCATTATTTTTTTTCTTTAACTAAGATATTTTAAGCTAGTGATTCTTTCAAAAATAAAGCAAGAAATACGATATAAAAAAATAATTAAATAGATAAATATAAAAATAAATTATATTAATATAAGTAATATGTTGGAAAAAAAGATATTATCCTATTTTGCCTACTTCGTGTCATTAAAATTATCAATATACAAATTTTTAGTTTTAATTAGGAATTGCACATATTGAAATTGTAATTAATATAAGTATAAATTATACTAATATAATTAATATATATTTTTAAAATAATATATATAATATTCAAAAAAGGATAAGATGTCTTGATGTACTTCTTCACCTTCCCATGCACCAGCGGTGAGACAGTTATTATTTGTCTGCAAATTAAATAAACGATGTATATATATATATATATATATTGTTTTTTTTCCCTCAAAGTGTGTATCTATCTTGTTATTGTGGGTAATCATGCTCAAGATACAATTGAATATAATATGTGTTTACTTCTCTTGAAGAAAATTCAACCCTTGTTTTGCCATGGAATGGACTTTAGTATCTTCCACTGCAAATTAAACGAACCTCATTTTGCTACATATATGTGTGTGCGCATGTAGGCTGATTAATTTTTTTTTTTATCTAGGCCAAAAACATGTGGCCTGGGCGTTTCGGCCCTCACGCTACCAGAATTCAATTCACATTGCAAAATGAAAATTTCACTGGATAAAATTTGGATTTTTTTTAATGTTATAAAAAATATTAATAAAAATTGACTAAAAATTTGAATAAAACTTTAAGACGAAACCGTTCAAAACTTCAAATTTTAATTTTCGCCATACAGATTTTATCATTGTCCGTCATGTTTTCTTTTCTTTTGTTTTTTTTTTTTTTGGCCTGATGTCCGTTATGTGAATTAACAGAAGGCCTAGCCACTCTAGATTAGAGTAGGCTTAATTTAATTTATTATATATTTTTTGAGTGTTTTGATATTTTGTGAAGAGATCATGTTTTTGAATATTTTATGCAACCGCACGTGTAAATTAATGGACTGCACCAAATCAGTTTTTTTTTTTAATTCAAGAAATTAATAAGCCTACGAATGGATTTGTTTTCGTTACTCCTCATTTTATGAATTTTTTTTTTACAAGAAAATTGTGGGTAAATATAATTGTTGATCCCTATTTGCTTGCCCACAACTGGAAGGGATGGGAATTCCCGTTTATGTTGGAGATGCGTTACTGTAGATTATGGAATAAGACATTAAATCAAAGTTCTTAGACAAATAATGAATGAACTTCAAAAATGAGGAAAACATAGATTGCCTTCAAATCTTGCTCCGCAGTCACCAGTGGCGACGAGAAGCATTCAGATTTCAGGGAAGGGACGTGCAGGCGGGAGAGGCTTTGTATCTCCTTTTCCATTCCCATCGTCTTCATTTTTCTAATTTCAAGATTAATATTTAAACAGTTTAAATTTAATCTCTCATAATTAAATTTTTTTTATAATGCAAATGATTTAAATTTTGATCTAAGAAATAAAAGAAAATGGGAAAGGAAGAAGAGAGATCAGAGTCTGTGTTTTCAATTCTGGGAACAAGCCTGGGTGTGGATATTCCAAAAGGGGAGTCTTTCAGAAGCTTTTCTACTGATCATGGGACAGTTGAAGCACACATGGTTGTTATATTATATATGTTACCTCTCTTTTAATTTATAAAACACTTTTAAAAAAGATTTGATAATTCAAAGTATAAAATACTTTAAGAAGATTAAAATTTTATTGAATAGGCTTATTCTAATATCACTCTTTCACTCTTTATTTAATTTCTATCACTTTCCCTTTTCAATTATTCAATACATTAAATGAATGGTGTTTTTAGAAGATCATATTTTTGTTTTGGAAAAAATAATGAAATTTATATATCAACTGTCCATATTTAAAATTTTTAAAATAAAAATTTATGAAAATTATCAAAATTTTAATAAATCTATTTAGCTATTAATTTAGTATGGACTCTCCTCATTTAAATTGAATGATACAAGTTTAATATTAAATTTTTATAATTTTTATAAATTGACTACGTAGATTAATTACTCCATAGTTTATATTTAACATTTTGAACTTATACTTTTTAAAAAGTACTTTTTTTAAAGTGGAAATTAAGAAATTATCTTTATTTTTAATGTTTTATTTATAAAAATAAGATATATAAAAAATCAAAAATTTAATATTAAATCTAAACAATCTATAATATATTTGAATAATTAATTTATAAAATTTATAAATTAAAAAATGTCAATATTAAGTTAAATCGTCAAGATTAAATTTGTCTTGTCTTGATTGATAATACACATATTTTTAAAATTGTTTATAAATTTTGTCTAGTATTTTCTCTTTCTTGTTTCACTTGTTTCAATCGTTTCATCTTTCAATTACTCCAGTAGTTCTATTTACAAATTAGCTTCAGCATGCTTTATTGGTATAAAAAAAAATTTAAAACTCATTAATTTTGTCTTAAAATTTGATAAATTTTTAATTTTCTTCCTATTAAATATATATATATAATTTAATAACATATTTTTTCTCTTCAACATTTAATGAAGGGTAAAAGAAAAAATTTATAATAAAAATTTAATAATGTGAGTTATAAATAGGTCAAAAATAATTTTTTTCTCTATCCTATAGATAAGATTAAAGAAAGTATTTTTTATTGAACACATCCCCTATCTCGCTGCCCGTATTAAAAAAATAATTTTTCATCGGAGTTTTGTTTTATGTTGGAAGCCTGGTTCCTGTGTTAAACCTTGAACGCACAATGTAACATCTAATATTCCGTCCCTCCCACATTTTCTTCAGTTGTCGCATTGCTCAGATATATAAATGCTTACGTAACTAAATTATTATTTTAAACGCACTATATTAAAAAAAAAATGTCATTCCTTTACCCCATATTTTCCTCATGTGCACTGTTTTTTTAAAAGGAGAAAAAGGAAAGAAAGAAATTTGACGATAAGGACCCTAGTCCTAGCCCATAATAAATAGGTTGTTTCCATCGCTCCAGGTACAACAAGAAACCATTACCTTCGCTCATTCAATCGAGCTCGTTCCATGGCTTCCAAAACACAAGCTTCGTCTATCACCCTCCTTTTGCCCTTGTTGCTGTTGTCTCAGTACTTCAGCACATCCCATGGCTCTACCTATCACTATGTCACCTACTGGGGCCAAAATTTTACCGAAGGAGAAGGAGAGTTGGATGCAGCATGCGACACAAACAGGTACGAGATAATTAACATAGGATTCCTCGATGTCTTCGGAAACCATCAAGCTCCAGAAATAAACCTGCCAGGACATTGTGAAGAGTACTCCGAGGATAACCCTTGCTCCAAATATGCCTCCCAGATAGCCCATTGCCAATCCCTAGGCATCAAAATCTTCCTCTCTCTCGGAGGGCCCTCCGGGAGCTATACACTTTCTTCAATTGCAGACGCCCAAGAACTTTCAGACTACCTCTGGACCAACTTCCTCAGCGGCGAACCCGGTTCGGAAGGTCCACTGGGAGATGTGACCTTAGACGGCATTGATTTTGCCATCGAAAGTGGCGGGAACGTGTATTACGATACTCTTGTGGAATTCCTCAACCCACACCGCACTAGTGAAGGTGCTCGGTATTTCTACCTATCAGCAGCACCTCATTGTGAATTCCCAGATGACTACTTAAACATGGCCATCCACACTTGGATGTTCGACTACATCTGGATTAGGTTCTATAACAAGGCTTCCTGCGAATATTCTGATGGAGATGCTCATAATCTTTTAGAAGCATGGGACGTCTGGATCACCCAAACCGTTGACAAAAGTCATGCCTTCTTTGTCGGCCTCCCCGCGTGTGAGGGAGAAGAAGGATATATCCCAATTGCTGATCTCAAAAGGAAGGTCATTCCAAAAGTTAAATCGAGTGCCTTTTTCGGGGGGTTCATGTTGTGGGAGGATCTTGTCTGCAAGTATAGCGACAAGCTCGAGGCTCATGATCACCTTAAGGCTCCAATTGCAATAGAGAACCTGAAACAATCTGCCTAGGATGCATTTTATCCTCTTGTATTAAGTATTCTCTTGTATGCAATATTGGAGGCTACTTCTGACACTGATGAGCTATCATCAATGTCAAATTAAATAAAGCTTTCCTTAATTAATTACTTTCGCGAGTTTTTGTATGCAATAGCAATATATCTAGTCTTCAACTCTTCATCATCTATTTTAAAGTAAGCTAACAAAAGGCCGAAGATGAACTGAATTTGTAGATGTGTATATATATATATATATATAATATACTTACATTCTATCTCAATTTATGAAACACTTTCAGATAAAATACATATCAATAAAGTTTAATAAATACACTTTATAACTTTATATTTTTAAAATAAAAATATAAATTTTAAAAAAATGCTCTTATATAATACTCTATTCATGAAAGAATATTAAAGAGAGATACTATAATGGAAAAGGTAATATTTTTTTTAAAGTGTCTTATATTTTAAAATGTTAAATCTATTACAAAAGAGTATAATTTGGGACGGATGCAGTATCATATATACTAAGTAAACAAGTTTCTAATAGGAATAGAGTATGAAAGAATCTAGTTTTTAGGGCCTTCTTGAATGCACAGCTAGGGATCTCATCTGTTCATCACTGTGATGAGATTTGAACCAACTAAATTTTGATATGAATAGACCATATTTAAAGTATTATCATATATTATATTTATTAAAATAAAAATTAGAAAAAACTTTTTGATAAATTTTTTATTTTTAATATGGTCTAGATTTGATTTGGAGAATCTAATTTAATATAAAATTTTTTATAATTAATGTATATTAATTATCCAAATAAACTAATACAGATTAAATTTAAATTGTGTAGAGTACATCTAGATAGTCAGTATATAGCAATTATAAAAATTTTAATATTAAATTAGACTATCTAATTAAATCTAGACTATATTAAAAATAAAAAAATTATTAAAATTATTTCATAATTTTTATAACTTTTTATTTTAATAAATATAATATATAATAATATTTTAAATCTGGACGATTCAAATTAAAATCTACATGGTACAAATTTCATCACATAGTGCCGAAACCAATCTCGCACAGCTAGATGTTATCCAATGAATGTATTGATATAAAATGAATTTAATTTAACAAAATGATGCTTCTCTTGCATTCGGTGGCGCTCTGTTGTAATATGTTTGCTTGCAGGACCACGATCGCAATCTTTGAATTCTTATATTTATAAATAAATATATATGTCAAATTTTTTTTAAAAGATGAAAATAAAATAGTTGTATGCGTCTATAAATATAAAAAAATAATTTAATAGTTAAAAAAAGAGCACAAGATCCCTTAATCATTACGTATGCAGTGCTGTGCCACTATATTTAATTTTAAAATATATACCACCTCGATCATGATGTGAGAAGTGACAAACTATTTATATTATATTAAGCTTCATCAAAAATAATTTAAATCATTTAATTAAATATGTTGTATTCTTTACTTATTTTTAATTTATTTTTAAATTTCTAGACGTGATATTTCTTTTATAATGGGATATTTACATGACAGAAGGAATAGAGATAAACTTAATCAAATAGGCTTGCAATTATCACGTCATTTAAACTTTTAATATTTCATGATCAGTAAGTGTCTAGTAGCATTATTTTTCTTACTTTATGAATTTAAACGTGCCAATCGTGTCATTTACGCTTTTTTTTCAGAGATACAGAGAATTGTAAGTTTGCAACTTTGAATTAAATAATACATTCAAAAAAATATATATATAGTTACCGAATATCAATGAGCGAGGTTAAATTGGATCTAATGCTGGTCTCGTTACTTATAACAAGCATTAGATCTAATTAATATATATGCAGGTACGTTAATACGTATACGCTAACATAATTAATTAATTAAAGTCTAAATTTTTCTTTGATGAATGCATGAATATGTGTTTTGCATACCTAATGTTAAGAATGGGCGCTAGGGCATGACCGCCAAAAAACAAAAGGGGAGGACAAATGGGCAAAGAATGATGGAAGAACACCACTACATTCTTAACTCAACCTTAAACCTTAAGTTTATGAATTATTTTCCTTTATTATATATTAATTAACAATTTCAATTGTATCCAGTGCGAGATTGCCATATCAGTTTAAGTTTATTCACACTTGGATAACCTAATTATAATCTCTTTCTCAAGTGTAAGTCCACAAACTTCCTGTATCAAAGACATCTCATGAGGCCAATTGAAAAAGTCCCTACTCCTACTATCAAGGCCAACTCAACTTTCTAAGCTTTAAATAATATGGCACACAAATACTTGCTACAGTCAGGATCGATATCATTTTTGGATTCAAACATGTGCATGCACTTGCAAGTCTCAGGAGAAACCTAACTCTAATGAGAAGCGAAACATCAATAAATGAAAATAGATTTATTTGATTCTTTTAAGATGGAAGTAAATGCATCCATCCATCTTCCTCCACCTCTACCGATCAGTTTTTGCTATTTGACACTATTACCGAATAGCACCAAAATTAATAAGAACTATATTTTATTGTAAAATACAACCTAAGTTGTCTCTCTAAGACTCAATGGGTTAATTACTTGAATTATGATTATGAAAAGCTAAAAAGTGAGGGGATTTTTTTATGATGAAATTAATTTAAAAAAACTAAATTAAAATTAAATAAATGAAGGAAATTCAATTGAGAAAATTACCAAGAACAAGGAGGGAAATTAATCACAACCCAAACACCTAAACTTAATCTTCCTCATCCACAAAATAAATTAATTTTATTTAACTTTATTACTCTGATCTTATTATATATTTTCCAAATTATCATTCAAGAATTAAACAAGGAATTAAGTTATAGATAAATTGAAATCTTCCTTAAACCCACAACCTAACAGATGTTTTAGCCACACTAGAAATAAAACATGAGTAATCACTCAAGCTAAGCCAAATTGCTCTTATGTTACTATGTCAATTGATTATAGCAAGCAAAACCTCATATAAAATTTATAACCTAAAAATCATGCAATAAAGCTACTCTAATCAACAATAACAATTAAAGCATAAAATTTAGAGGTAGAAAGAAGAAGAGAAAATTAGAATAAAGTTAAAATAAAATCTTCCCTAAATATCAAGGTTTTATATGAGAAAAAGTGTAGATCGCCTTTATGTTGGACAGAATTGAGTGAGAAGAGTATGTTAGAACTAAATGTTGTAGATCAAACAACTCAAAAGATTAGGTTGATTAAGTAAAGATTGATAATGGCTCAAAGCAGGCAGAAGAGTTATGTGGATAAACGTAGAAGGCTATTAGAGTTTCTGGTAGGAAACCATGTGTTTTTAAGGGTTACACCAATAACGAGAATTGGGAGGTCGATTAGAGCTAAAAAGTTGACTCCTCAGTTCGTTGGTCCTTTCGAGATTCTGGAGAGAATTGGACCAGTTGCCTACAGAATTGCCTTGCCACTGCAATTATCAAGTGTGTATGATGTATTCCATGTATCTCAACTTAAGAAATACCAACCAGACCCTTCTCATATGATCAAACCACGAGAGATTGAGCTCCGAGAGAATTTAACTTATAAGGCTGAGCTAGAACATATCATAGATATGAAAGAGAAACAATTGAGGAACAAAACTATATGATTAGTGAAAGTTTTCTGGTGAGGCATGGTTCCTGACGATACTACCTAGGAGATAGAGGATAGTATCCCCATCTATTTTCATAGGTATGTATTTGTGTGTTTTATGACTTTTGGGGGCAAAATTCTTAAAAGGAGGGGAGAACTGTAACATCTTAATTTCTTAATCTTGCAGTTAATTATTAATTAAGGGTAAATTAGTAACTAGTGATTGATTAAGGGTTTAGATGATTGCTTAGTAATTTGACTTGTTAGGATGTTGAATGAGCAGATATGGTTGAAAAAAACTATGTCTCAGAATGAAGCATGTGCACATGGTGAGGAATTTGCTTGTTATGCCATACGTCGTGGCGCATTAACCAAAAAATGAATTAATAGGTCGTGAATTGGCTTGAAGTTTAAAAGGGAAAGGGAGAGAAAATATAAAAGAGAGAGGAGAACAAAGCTTTGGCTGCAAGGGCAAGCATTCTCAAGGTATTGGAAGGCATTTCTGACCAGTGACTTATCAATTAAGCTTCATATGACCCCTACTTTCAATTATACTCTAATTTCTCTTAGTGTAAGTTATAAAGAAATTGAATCAAGAAGATTTCAGGGGCTTGTTTCTTACTTTATAGTAATAAAAAGGTTCTCTAGAGTTAAATTAAGCTTTGTAACTAGTTTGAAGTTGAACGATAGAGCTTTGAACTTATAAGCTCAAATTTAGCCCTAATTAATGGAAATAAGGGGTGAAAATGGTGTTAGGGTCAATAAGATTGTTTGAAGTTTTATAAAGTAGTAACTGAGTGGTAAAGAGCTTAGAATGGTTAAGTAGAAAGGAATGAATGGCTAGTTATAGCTTAACTGACAATTAAGTGTTTTTGGTCAATTGAATTAATTGACTAATAGTTCTAATTGTGTGTAAATTGGCATAATCCATAGGTAGAGTGTGGAAAGGAGCTTGTAGTGATATGTTAGTAGTTGTTAAATCCACGGATAACCTTTCTTATGATAGAAGGGTTGAGGTAACCGAATAACTTTCTTTATTTGACTACTTATTATAACTATGTGTAAGTATGCTATTTAGTGCATAAAAATTGTTTTAAACTAAACATGTTTTATGGCATTTGTGAATGTTACATGAAAATGGCTTCTGATTAAATAGATGGGTGAAAACATAAGATTTTATATTTGATATATGTATATATGTGTATGGTAGTGATTGAGAATCTATGATTGGTTCGGAAAGCATGATCATAGGGATGTGAGTTCACCCATAGTGTGGAGATGTAGATAAAGACTATATGGCATTATTCTCTTAGTGCCTGACGTGGTATAATGTTGGAGAATTGTATCTCTTTAGTACCTTTTGAGGTATGGTGTTGGAGATTGTTAACCTCTAAATTTCATGTCGTTTCATTAAATTTTTCTTTGATTTTAATCCATTTTGCCTCATTTGTATATATTTTTATTGTCCAAATTAGGCAAATGTGTAGTTTGCTTTGGGTTTGCATTCTTAGCTTTACTTTAATATTTTCAGTCTAATTTCATATTACTTTGATTTTAGATTTGATTAAATGCATTTCTAGAGCTTTATTGATGTTTTTGGAAGGCTTTTGGATGAAAAAATCAAGTGCAAAAGGATAAATTTTGTTAATTGCAAAAAATAGTTCAAAAATGTCAAAGTCGTCAGAAAGTTATGACTTTCGTTCACGACTTTTGCCGCTATTAGAAAAACACTACGTTTTATTTATTAGAAATTGGTTAGCTAGGACATATATATATTGAGAGCTCGATCCAGAATGCACTCTTCAAACTTTTAGACACATTTGGAGCTTGGTTGTGCTAGGGTTTGGGCATTGGAAGTACTTGAAGCAAGAGAATGGGGTTTTGAAGAGATTTGGAGCTTCTTTTCTTTGATTTTTCTATTCCTTTTTCCTTTCCTTCTTGTAATCTTGTAATGGCTGTGAATATCTTGTGTATTTGTAGCTTTTTGATGTTTATGAGTAGCCAAACCCTTTGCTTTAGGATTATTTTAAACCTTTGTATGGATTAACATTAAGTTCCTCCTCTCTTTTTGTGATTAATGATATATATGTGTTTATTTATTCTTTCCTTAATGCTTTTAAGTGATTGGCCACCATTTAAATGTTGGATTCACTTAATTAATGCTTAAGAGGGCTAGGTTAAGTGTAAAACTTGGGTGAAATAGTACAAGAACTTGATATTTACATGTTGAATGGATAGTTTTGTTAGTAAGATAGAGATATACTTACTAGCCTTACATAGCCACATTAGGGTTGGTGTTTAAAATTGAGTTTTATTAATTGTAACAAGAGATTGAGCAATTAATTTAACTAAACATTTGTTCATGATTTGAGAGAGTTTGTCCAAGTATTTTTAGAACCCTAGGTTAGCATTTATTTTTATTAAAAGCATTTATAAGAGGAGATAATTTTAGTGTTATGAAATGCAAGGGAGATAAATAATTCTAGGTCCCAATTTGAGTTTGAAGTTCGTGAATCACTTTGTTTTCTTTATTTTCTAGTATTTTAGTTTGCAAAAATCATTTTCACCTAATTATGTTTGGCTCAACTTAATTGAACTCACTTAGTCTTTTGTTTGATCGTTGTTTTTAAACAAATCCTCGAAAACATGATACTTTACTTTTATTATATTACTTGTTATGATCCGTGCACTTGTGGTGAGCAACAGAGATTATCTCCTTAATGCCTATTGAGGTGTGATGTTGGAGATTTGGATTCCTTAGTATCAATGTGGTGCGGTGTTGGAATCAACGACACCCTATTGTGTGTATTGGGGAAAACCATTATGAGTTAGAACACCTTAGGCTAGGTGATTCTATCACTGAAGATGAACTCAATGCCAATGAGAGTGTATATTAGTCTAAGGCTAGTTTATAGTTTCAAGTTGGGTGATTTGAGATGATTTGGAGGTTCGGTTAGTAATGATCATGCTATGTGCAAAAAAATGGTAAATATAGTGGTAAAAGAAGTGAAATGGTTTATATTAATAAGATTTGAAATGAACTTGTGTTATATGCTATGTTTAACTGTATATTATGCTATACTTACTTATGGTTGCATGTGATAGTTGATAGTAGAAAGTTATTCTGTTACTGAAATTTTTATTTGGTCACCGTAGTTATATTTTTATAGGACAAAGCAATGAGCTGGGCAAGAAAAAAGAGTCAGGATCGGTTTAGAGTTGTTAAAGTCATGTGATTATAGAGTTTGTATAATAACACTATGAATATTGTGTATATAAGTTGCCATAGGAATTGCATGTTGGAAATTATGCCTTAGGGCCAATCATTGTACTATAAATATTGTTATTTATAAAATTTTTCTTTTGATATCATATTAATTGTATATTCATTATGATAACTGTATCCTTAAACAAACTATAGTGATTGTCCTAAATATCCCTAGTCGGTCATCTATGAGGAATCATAGATGAAATAAGACTAGTATGACTTTAATTAATTATAGAGATATAAATCAGAGTCATAGGCACTTGAAAGAGTACAAGATGTTGTACCAACCCGCTATAAGAAAGCTGTATGGTACAAGTTATAAGCTTATTTCATATGTAACCATATCACTAAGCCCTTTGACTTGAGACCATCATGGATTCCTCAATGATGACCACTGAACTTTGACTTAGTCAAAAGTCACCTTTGATCAAGTGATCATAAAAGCTATGATTAAATTTAGTGATATTCATGCAGAGGAATATAAGTGGTCAAGATGAAATTTATCCTTCACATTAATTGAGAGATATTATTAGGCCCCTCGATAAGTAAGACTAAGAAAATGTAAGGTCATATTACAATGAAAAGAGTTTTTTTATTGTTATGTCAGTCTACTTAAATATTGAGAAAGTAATGGTCAGGTAAAGGAGAATGACAATTCTATGTCTCACGCTTAACCGAAATATCGTGTGACAAAAAGGATGTGAGATGGTTATATGATAGGTTGCATTGATCCCCATATAAATTGGGTAGTTGCGATGTCTTGCTAGAGGTCACTTATGACTTATGGGCTAAATATTTATATATATTTATATGAAATATAATTATATATATATATATATATTCAAAATATATATATATATATATTCATGTTTGTATATATATTTGATATATATATATATGATATATATAAAATTCAAAATATGATATATATATATATATATGCGTATATGTGTAATTTTGTGTATACATATATAAATAATATAATATAATATAATATATATTGCATTGCATTGTATTGTATTGTATTAGTTTTAATTTTAATTTTATATGATAGACTAAATTTAATAACTAACATGATATAAGAGACTATCATGTTAGTTTTATAATTTAAAGTTATAAGATAAATTCGAATTAGATATGATATTATGGATTAAATTTATGAGATAAATTTAATTAAATTTTTGTGGACTCTTCAAGTGGAAGGCAAAAATCCTAATTTATATAATATATATAGATAGGGACGTGCTTTATGAAAGTAGTGAGAATCAGAAAAGTCCTGACGATAAAATACTTTGAGAGCCATGAAACACCCTAAAAAAAGTAAACCTAATGTTCAAAAACGAACAGATGTTAGAAACACTAGCACGCTGTTCGAGTTAGAGAGCTGTTCGTGTGGATACTAGTAGAGGAAGCATATCTACGTGGTCGACTCCTAAGATTTAGACTCTTAAAGAGAATGCACATAAAGCATGAAGAAAAAGGTAACTTTTCTTTTTACCTTGACTTAAATGAGTTCGTTTGGTCTACATGGGCATAGGGATTTTAAATTTTAATCTTCTATTATGCCTCCCTATCCAACACTGCATGCATGTTTAAGTTGTGATTTTTGAGAAAATTGTAGTAATTTAGTAAATCTTAGCTCATATATGTAGATATATGATGAAATGATTAATAAAGGCTAACATTTAGTTATAAATATATTGTGAATGTATAAAGTGGTGATTTGTGGTGATATTGTAGTGAAAATGGCTAAAGGAAAGTTTTTGAGCTAAGTTGTGAAAATTGTGTTTTATGAAAATGAGTTGTTGAACGACCAAATTTTGATATGTGTGTATATATGTTATATATTATGTTCAATCAAGTGTATTAGGTCCTTTTAGGCTTAGTTCAAGGCCTAATATGGTCTAATGAGATAATAGGATTGATTTGAGCGATTGGGTGTGTGAAATTTTTAGAAAAAGTGACTTATTGCACTCGGGTGTCCAAATTTTGATCAAACCATTAGATTGTGTCCAAATTATCTCATTAGCTAGCTTATGAGATAAACTTCGTGTGGGCTCTTGAATCACTCCAATCGGATATCATATGTGAATACAGCGCACATCGAAAGTTCATTATTTGAGCTGTCAAAATAGAATCAGGCATGTGTGTCACAGTGCATTGCGCATCATGCCCCGACACATGGTATAGAGAAGGTTAGGGCATATGGCTCCATGTCACATGCCATGACCCATGTGTTGCCTGCCACGGCGCATGGCCCATAATCTGACCTAATTTCTTTGTTTTTAGAGCATGCAATGATCCATTTGAATGCATATAGTTTATTTCTGCTGCATATTGCTTTAATGTGTTATGATTTTGATAATTTTGCCAAACAAGTCTTAAACCCAAGTTTTTCAAATAAAGTATTTAATTATTGTTTGGTTTTGTTGTGGTGGTAATTAAGTTAATCCTTTTCTATATTTGGTGGTTACAGGGAAGGGTTACATAAGGCTTCTGGCTCAGGGTGCATGTGTTGAACAAGTAGCTTTTATTTTTGTTTTTTCAATTTCATTGGTTTAAAGAGAGGAGTATTTAGGTCATTTGTTTAAATTGTTTAATAAATAAAATATTAGCTTTGGTCCTTCAATTGAATTTGGTCCTTGGGATTAATTTTCCTAATAAGGTCCTTTTCATCAATTTTTTTTTTCAAAACTCTATTACTTATTTATTGAATTTACTATTCAATTCTTTTAATTGATATGTTTCTCGTTCAATTCAATTTAGAGGATTGAAAATATATAATTCCTATATTTTAGCAAAATAATTAAAAAGTTAGGGGCCATGACCCTTGTTGGCTCCCTTGTCTCCACCAATAATGAAACAAATAATGTTAGTTTTCTATGATTTGCTTTTGCCTCTGTTAATAGCTAATGATGGGAAAGTAATTGCCTAATCCAGATCAAATTAGTCATCGTGCTGACTATGATAGTTAGATAAAATGTAGCGAGAAAAACGATTTTACGTCATTAAACCTTGCTAACATTATTGCAAAACGTTTTCTTCAGTCCACAGCTCTGAACTACATCCAACACATCGGTGGAGTTCAATCAGAAGTTTACGAATTCATCCACGTCATCTGCTGGCCAGTCGTGCCATTTTCTCATTTTTCTTAGAGATACAGGGAATTACATGTGCAACTTTAAATTAAATAATATTCCTTCAGTACCAAATTATAAGATAATTTTAAAATATTTTGTTAATTCAAAGTATAAAATTTTGATAAAAATAAAATTTCATTGATACAAATACTTTACCAAAACTCCGTTTTTAAAGAAGTTCATTCATTTCTCTTGTTTCTATGAATCGATTTTGCTTGCTGTTGCATTAATCGTGATCACAAATTTAAAATTTCCAAATTCACCCCTACACTATGCAGCTCGTGATTTCTCAGCCAAAACATTATGAACTTGGTTTCCAGTTGCTGTCACTAAGCACCAATTAAATAATGAAAAAATTATGTATGAGTCCTGTGGAATAAACTTATTTGCAAATAAATCATATGAAATTCAAACATTATAGCCAACTTCTTGGAACCTGAGTCATATAATTTAAAATGGGGGTGCAAATGTAATGCTACTTTTACTTATTGGATATGTGGGGTTTAAATTATAAAAAGTTGAAGTTATAATTATAAATTACTGATAAAATAGCTATAAACAATTAGTATTAAACTTTATTAATAACACATAATTGATTTATTAGATATGTGAAGTTATCGTTATAAAATATTAAATGATAGTTATAAATTACTAATAAGATAGTTGTAAATAATTTGTATTAAACTTTGTTAGTAACGTGTGATTGGTTTAACTATTAAATATATGAAGTTATAGTTATAAAATATTAAAATGATAGTTGAAAATTACTAATAAGGTAGTTGTATCTAATTAGCAATTGGATATGCAAAGAAATCATAATTATAAATTACTAATAAAATAGTTGTAAATTACTTAATTGATGTAATGTATTTTAATAGAGGCATTGTTATCTATGTACCTGAACTTCAAATTATATTTAGGTTTCAAGGGATTGGCTATGTTTCTAAAATTCATGAGACTTGTTTGTAAATAAGTTTGCTCCACAAGTCCTATATATAATTTTTTTAAATAATTAACATGAGAGTTAAGTTATATAAGAGAGAGGAGGACAAGATTTTAAAAATCAAACCGGTCATTTAACCAATCAAAGTACCATTTTAAAGGTCAATGGTTGGGTCATGGTTGAACTATGGCCAAACTTGATGTGATTAATTTACTATTTTTTAATTTTTTGTGTTAAATATTTCATGAAAAGTGATAATTTATAAAATGTTACTCCAAAACAAGATTAAATTAATCACATATATTCAAAATGATTCGAAATTTGTTCAATGCTCTAAAGCACATTCATTATATAAAGAAAGTGACATCTTATTAAGTATTTTTAGATGGCTAATCAAAACCAAATTAAAAAGATAATGTTTAAAACAATAATATATATAAATAATTAGAAGTATAAAGATGATATATTTATGCTTACATTAAAAAAAGAGGTTAAGATTTAAAAAAACAATCATCAAATAAAAAATATATGACAAAAACAAAAAAAGAAAAAAAAACTGGAGAAGTGAGAGGTGGTGATCCTCCCCCCCGGGGGGTTTTTTGCTTGGGCGCTATTGGGGATTCATTTAACTGGTTTTTTTTTGGTGCATTGGTTGAAGTTCTAAAGCCACATTATATATAAATTGTTTATATTATTAATGATAATGATAGTAGAGAGCAAAAAACATTCGGCTTTACTTTTTCCACCCCCGATACAAAGGACTGACCAACTAGGTCCAATCATAGAAGGCTTTTTCAAATAATATACATGAGGCTCTTTTTAAATTGTAGATTGACTATTCTTTAAGAAAAATTGGGGATGGTAAAGTTACCTCATCTTCCTTGCACGGTACCACACTACACACTACCACTATAAGGCCACATTTAAAAATATCACTTCATGATGTGAGAAGCAATTATTGAATGTGACTTATTGAATAGAAGGAATAGAGATAAATTTAATCGAAGAGGCATGCAATTATCACGTTAGAACTTTTAATAATTCCATGATCAGTAATCACCTATTAGAACTTTCAATAATTCCATAATCAGTAATCACCTATGTCTAGTGCCATTATATTATGAATTTAAAAGTCCTACACATACATACATACATCCATACATATTCCATACATACATCCATACATATTCCGGCCAGCAACCTCGTCGTTTTCTCATTTTTTATTAGCCAGAGATATAAAGAATTGCATGTTAGCAACTTTAAATTGAATAATACATTCATTAAAAAGATATATGATGAACGGAATATGGATGAAAGAGGTTAAATTGGATCTAATGCTAATCTCATCGTTTAATTAAAAAAATCTAACATTAATAACACGTGCCTCGCAAACGTCTTATTTTATATTAGCTGACTGATTGGTTCTTGAAAAATAAGTAAAATAATGACCCTACCCCAAGCCCTCCATAAATCGGTCGTTTCTGTTGCTCCTCCTTTCCTAAAACAAGAAGCTCATTGCCTTGCTTCTCTCAACCTACTTTCATGGCTTCCAAAACACAACCTCTCATCCTTCTTGCTCTTATCTCACTTGAGCTCTTCCCTGTCTTGTCCAATTGTCACCTACTGGGGACAGAATGGGGGAGAAGGAGAGTTGGATACAGCATGCGACACCGAAAAGTACGAGATCATAAACATCGCATTCATGAACACATTCGGCAGCGGACGAACTCCAAACATATATAGACCTCTCAGGACATTGTGATTGGTCCACGGGTGTCCCTGATTGCACCAAATATGCCTCCCAAATAGCCTACTGCCAAAGCAAGAGTGTCAAAATCTTCCTCTCTCTTGGAGGAGCTTCTGGGCAATATGGCTTTTCTTCAGCTGAAGACGCCAAGGAGTTTGCATACCACCTCTGGACCTATTACCTCAGTGGCCAAAGTTCAGGTCTACTGGGTCTCATCGCCTTAGATGGCATCGATTTTGACATCGAAGGCGGTACAAACTTGTACTGGGATGTGCTTCTGCAAGATCTTTACACATACAGCCAACAAAAGAAGATTTACTTATCAGCAGCGCCACAATGCCCAATCCCAGACTACTATTTAAACACTTCCATCAGCACAGGGCTGTTCGACTACATTTGGGTCCAGTTCTACAACAACCCTCCCTGCGAATACACCGACGATGGAGATACTCAGAAACTTATAAATTCATGGAACCAATGGACCGCCGACTTCACCGCCACCAAGTTCTATGTCGGCCTCCCCGCTTCTCCTGCTGCAAATGGTAGTGCTGGTGGTTATGTCCCAATTAATGTGCTCAACAATGAGATTCTTCCGGTAGTAGAAACATCTCCCAAGTTTGGTGGGGTGATGTTATGGAGCAGGTACTATGATTATATATCTGGGTACAGCGATCAGATCGTGTGTACTACCTCTGGAGCTTTTAATGTCGTACGGTCGCCGTTGGTTGCCATGGTGAAGTCTGCCTCGGAGGTTCTAGATCGCCTTTTATCGCACTTGTAGTGTGACTGCAACTTCTCTAGTACGGAATAAGTTGTAGGAGGCTAGTGCCTTCCATCCTTCTGTGTTGACAGCCTGATTCTAGTCAGGTTATCATGGATCATTAATGAATAAAAACTTTCATTGACTGCGTGATACTGTTGTTTTAAGGTTTTAGCTTTTGTTTCTTATTCATTTGGATGCTGTTCAGCAACACAAATCAAAATGATCTCATGGCTCAATGATGTCCTTATTTATTTAAATTAAAATATAAAACTATCCTAAATGTAATTCGCATTCCACAACAAAAATACAGCACATTTGCATTGGAATTTAGTGATTGAATAAATTTTTATCGCTCATTCATCACTAATTCAGTCTCTAAATTAGCGGTGGAATTTTTTTAATGTTATAAAAAAATATTAATAAAAAATTAACTAAAAATTTGAAATAAAACTTTGAGACCAAACCGTTCAAAACTTCAAATAATTAATTTTCGCCATACAGATTTTATCTTGAGAACGAATAGACGTTGCTCATCCAAAATCAAGTCGGCACTGGTAAAAAAAAAGTTTAAATGTTTTTTGTGATTAAAAAAAATGCTTATTGATGAATTTTAACCCCTAAATTCCATGTTTTAGATCTTCATTGACAAAATACCATGTTACCGCAAAAATTCTAGGTGTCTGTGCCACTCTCTAAATAACTTTTCCAAACCTGTCAGGGATGAGTTTGCGGGACAGACAAAATTTTGTATGTATTCATCATATCCCAAAAATTTATCCAAAAAAAAAAAAAATCACATCCCATAAATATTCAAAAAACGACGAAATGCATTCTTGTCCGTCATGTTTTCTTTTCTTTTTGTGAATTAACAGAAGGCCTAGCTACTCGAGATTAGAGTAGGCTTAATTTAATTTATTATATATTATTTGAGTGTTTCGATATTTTGTGAAGAGGTCATATTATTGAATATTTTTTGCAAACGTGTAAATTAATGGACTGTACCTGATCAGTTTTTTTTTAATTCAAGAAATTAATAAGCCTATGAATGGATTTCTTTTCCTTACTCCTCATTTTATGAATTTTTTTACTATAAAATTCTGGGTAAATATAATTGCTGATCCCTATTTCATGTCCCATAAATTTTCAGTTTATAACATTAATTCTTATTATTATTGGCAGAGTTAAATTTATTCATGTGTTAGACATTGTAAGAATAAAATGGTTACTAAATTTTCTAACTGTTCTAACAGTTTATGTTTTCCTCATTTTGAAGTTCATTCATTATTTGTTTAAGAACTTTGATTTAATGTCTTATTCCCCCCCTTGTACACATTTTCTTGCCACAATCTACAGTAACGCGTGTCCAACATAAACGGGAATTCCCATCCCTTCGAGTTCTGGGCAAGAAATATTGGTTGAAATGACATCATTGCCTTCAAATCTTGCTCCGCAGTCACCACCGGCGACGAGAAGCGTTCAGATTTTAGGCAAGGGACGTGCAGGTGGGAGAGGATTTATATCTCCTTTTCCATCATTTCCATCCTCTTCATTTTCTAATTACAAGATTAATATTTAAACAGTATAAATTTAATCTCTTATAATTAATTTTTTTAAATAATCCAAACAATTTAAATTTTCATCTAAAAAATAAAAGAAAAGTGGAAATGAAGTGGAGAGATCAGAGTCATATGTCTTCAATTCTCAGAACAAGCCTGGATGTGGATATTCCAAAAGCTGAGTCTTTCAAAAGCTTTTCGACTGATCATGGGACAGCTGAAGCACATGGTGGTTATATTATAATGCCTCTCTTCAATTCATAAAACACTTTCAAAAAAAGATTTGATGTGCCAAGACATGACATACTTTAAGAAGATAATTTCGTTGAATAGACTTATTTTAATAGTGCCCTTTCTCACTGCTATAATATATATCTTTAGAAGCAGGTCTTTAAGAGTGCTTATTTAAAAAGCGCTCTTAAATGTGAAAGCGAAATTTATTAGAGCATTTTTTTAAATAAGCACTCCTATATATCAAAGCTTCAAGAGTGCTCAATTAAAGAGTGCTCCTAATTATATCATTAAAAAAATTTTAAAAATTTAAAAAGACATTTCGAAGCACTCTATAGTTGAGCGCTACGGAAAGCTGAATCTTTCAAAGCGCTCTTGAAACAAGTACGCCGAAAGGTTGGAACTTTTGGAGCACTTGGATTAGGAGCACTCTAGAAGATATATCGTTCCGAAGCGCTTGTCCCTAAGCACTCTAGAATAATATCTTTTTGGAGCTCTCAATTATGAGCGCTCCGAAAAGATTGCTCATTTAGGAGTTCTCAAACATGAGCACTGTGAAATGTTTTAACTTTTAGAGCGCTCCAAATGGTTGATTTTATTTATTTTTTTATACAAAGATTTCAAGTTTTTAACGCGCCCATTCAGTTCCCTCAGTTCCCTTATTTTTTGTTTTCACTTGGTTTCTTTCATTCCATTGTCTCGTTCTTGCACCTTGTCTATTCCCAAGAATAGTCCACCAAGTCGGTGTGTAGCTGATCGTCAAAGTTCCCCACCGCAGCGTGCTCCATCTCTGCATCGAAGTTCCCTATCTACATGCTGTTTTAAGATCTTCACCGTTTCGAGATCGCTAGTTCCAGATCGCCGTCGTGAAGTCTCGCTTGATCATCTTCGCCGTCAGTTTTTGAACGTTCCACGTCATTATCTGAGATTTGCTCCGCCATCATGTTTTGACCAACATGGGTCGCAAAGAAGACAGATTTGCTTCGCTGTTCCACATTCGCCTCTCGGCTTGAACATTAGAGGAAGTGCACCGCAAAGACACCTGATTTTCACCTTGAAGGTCGTCATCGATTGCCACCGTGAAGACACCTTTTTATTAATTAATATTATAATATATATATATATATATATTGATATATAGATTTTAGAATAATTTTTATATAAAAATATATATAAATAATCAGTGATTGAAGTTATTTATATTAAAATTATGAAGTATTTGTAGTTGATAATTTAGCTTAAAGTTAAATGTAGTTTATAATGAATGGAAGATAATATTGTAGAGGAAACTATTTGAACTTTTTTTTATGTACAAAATATTTTTTAAGGGAGATTATTGTTGTTAATTAAACTACAATTTATTTATAGAATTTAAATGCATTATGCTATTAAATTTTTATTTGGATGGATTGATTTTTTAGTTTGAATGTATTGTATTGTAGAATTTTATTGTTTGGTTATTTAGGAGGTTCTTTTTTTAAGGAAGACTATCAATTTTTTTTAAATTCTAATATTTTTTGAATTTTGTTAATCATATTAGTGATATGGATCGTAAGTGGATGTCGGCTAATCGATTATCTAGAAAATATTGTGATGGTGTGGATGACTTTATTGAGTTTGCATTTTATCATAATCAAGACCCTCGTGGAGTCATATGTCCTTGTTTAAAATGTTGCTATGGAAAAAGAGTAAGGCCAATAGAATTGAAAGATCATTTGATATGTAATGGGATTGATCCAACTTATATTTGCTAGACCATGCATGGGGAGACAAGGAATAATGCAAGTGATTGGAATGATAGTGCGAGCTACTTAGCATTTGATCATGGTAGTGGGACATATAATGTTGACCGTCTTGACGAAATAATTGATATGATTGAAGAGGATCTTTGGAATTATCCTGAGATGTTTGAGAGGTTGAAGAGTGATGTTGACAAACCATTGTACCTTAATTATAAGAAATTCATAAAATTATCAGTTGTTCTGAATTTATACAACCTAAAACCTACTAATGGATGGAGCGACAAGAGTTTCACTGATCTGCTTGAACTATTGTATGAGATGTTGCTAGAATACAATAAGATTCCATATAATACTTTTAAGGCTAAAAGAGTGCTCTATTCTATTGGGATGAGCCATGAGAAGATACATGCATATCTAAATAATTGTTTCCTCTTTCAAAAAGAGTATTCAATCTCAGATAAGTATCCAAAATATGATACATCATGGTACAAGAGAAATAGATGTAGTTTGGCGAAGGCGTTGTTGTATTTTCTAATCATACCAAGATTTAGATGCCTATACAGCATTGCAGAAGATGCTAAACACTTAACATGGCATGCTGATGAGACAATTAAGGATGGCAAGCTACAACACCTTACAGATTCTCCTCAATAAAAAAAGTTTGATCTTATGATCCTTAAGTTTAGAATAGAAGTAGAAACACATGCCTTACATTTACCACTGACGGAATGAATCCTCATGGTATGCAAAGCAGTACTCATAGTAGATGATTGGTCATTTTGATTATCTATAACCTTTCTCTAATATTATGCATGAAGTATAAGTTTATGATGCTGTCATTATTGATTTCTAGGCCTCGACAACCAAGAAATGATATAGATGTGTATTTAGCTATGTTGATTGAAGATCTGAAGATACTGTGGGAGACAGGTGTGGAGGTTTATGGTGGGTATAGAGAAAAACATTTCATCTTACGAGTAATGTTGTTTAGCACCATAAATGACTTTCCTGCCTATAGCAATTTGTCAGGATATAGTATTAAAGGGCGAGATATGTGTCCAATTTGTGAGGAGCACACTTGTTCAGTGCGATTGGAACATTGTAGGAAGAACATCTTCATTGGTCATTGAAAATTTTTATCGTAAACACATCATTACGGACGGTTGAAGAAGATCTTTAATGGCCACCCGGAGAAGGGTAGAGTTTCTTTTCCATTAACCGGTGAGCAGCTCTTTCAAAAGGTTAATGATCAACATATTAAATTTGAAAAATTATTTGCAAGTAAGATTGTTAAGAATGGTTGGAAGAAGAAGTCAATATTCTTTGAACTACTATATTGGAAGACCCTAGATGTTAGACATTTCTTGGACATGATGCATATCGAAAAGAATGTCTACGACAGTCTTATTGGCACGTTACTCCACATTTCAGGAAAGAGTAAGGACAATATTAATGTAAGGATGGATTTGATTAGTATGGGGTTAAGAGAAGAGTTGGCACCAGAGAGGAGGGGAAAATGTACTTTTTTACCTTCAGTAGCTCACACCTTGTCTAGAAAGGAAAAATTAGCTTTCTATAAATTCTTGCATGAAATTAAAGTGCCAGAAGGATATT